GGCCTCACACTCCTGCCGTTGCAGGTTACAGGGTGACACCTGTCTCTTATACACATCTAGATGTGTATAAGAGACAGCTCTCTCTCTCTCTCTCGTGCGTGCGCATATTGACAGTGTCACAATCATGGGGAATGAGTGGGATGACAATATTCATTGATTTTTTTTTTTTTTCTTCTTTTGATGAACGAGTCGTTTGACTGACCTGTTTCGGATGAATTGATCCCATGCTTCTCATTATCTGCTGTCTGCACAAAGGTTAGTCAGTCTTGGAGCATGGATGCTCTGACAAGCCCAAGCGATGGATGTTTTCTGTTCTGCTCGTCGTCAAGAAAACAGAGCTTCTCAGGCAAGAAGAACATGAGGAGCAGTCAAAATGATTTTCACTCCAATCTCCGCCGAGTCGCCAACTCTCGAACTATGAGATGAAGATGAGAGGCACAGGAACTGACCTCTGCTCTGACCATAGGCATCCAGCAGCAGGTCCTACCATGGGCACCTCTCTCTTGTGTAGATGTTTATATAATAATGACTATTTGTCTGCGACTTCGTGGCATTCACTGCTTCACTGCTTTGGTGTATTTCAATTTGTAGGAAGAGAGCTAGAGTGGGAAAGAAGGGGAGACGGCGGGGAGAGGAGGGGAGAGGGAGGGGAGAGGGAGGGGAGAGGAGAGGGAAAGGGGAATGTGAATGGAACTATGTCTGATCGCTCCAGTTTGCTGCTGTGATGTAGGTCAAGCTAGCGACCGATCCGATTTCCACTCTGTAGGGAGAGAGCTAGAGTGTGAAAGAAGGGGAGAAGGAGGGGAGAGGAGCGGAGAGGGAGTGGAGAGGAGAGGAGAAGGGGAGTGTGAATGGTACTGTGTCTGATCGCTGCAGCTTGCTGCTGTGATGCAGGTCAAAGCAAGCTACGGATCCCATTTTCAACCTGTAGGGAGAGAGCTAGAGTGGGGGGAGGGAGGGGAGAGTAGGGGAGAGGGAGGAGAGAGGGAGGTGAGAGGAGGGGAGAGGGAGGGGAAGGGGAATGCGAATGGAACTATGTCTGATCGCTGCAGCTACCGATCCCATTTCCAGCCAAGAGAGGGTATGAGCGAAGATGGAGTCTGGCTTGTGAAGGACACTATAATGTCACTATTGGGTTGATAATGTGTTATCGGTCTCTGGATTGTTGACGGTGTTCTCTAGGATTGTTTGGATGGACGATGGGAGTTGGGTGGAGGATGATGGGAGTTTGGTGGAGGAGGATGGCACTCGGGATGTCGCCTTGGCACTACCTTCTTCACCTGAATAGAACCCCCGGTCATTATAGCCGCACCTGGACTGAAAGCTGCCCCAAAAATGGTTATAAGGACCGGGCGTTCTGTTCGGGCGAAGAGGGTAGTGCAGTGCTCTCTAGTGGTGCCTACATTGGTTGCAAGCCAACATTGTTGGATTCGTAACACATCATCAGTCTCATGCGGTCTCCTTGGCATTGAGGGTAGTCCAGCGCTCTCGAGCGGTGCCTACATGTGGAATTGACAGTATTGTTTAGAATTGTTTGGGAGGAGGTTGGGAGTTGGATGTAGGATGATGGGAGTCGGATGTCTCCTTGGCATTAGTCCAGTGCTCTCGAGCGGTGCCTACATCGGTAGCAAACAAACATTGTGAGGATGGAAGGAGGTTAGGGTAAAGTGTGGTCTGGTCCGATCAGGGTGAAGCTCGATCCGGTGAAATCAGGATGAAGTAAGTTGTGTCTTGTCTAGGCTGAGCACGTCGTGCCTTCTACGGCCTTAGTGAGCAATAGAACAAAATCATCTGCTGAGCTCTGCGCCTCTTTCTTATTTAGAAAGGGCCCAGTCAGTCTCGTATCCGACCTTGGATTCATCTAGACAGTCAGTGGAGAGTGATGTTGCAGGCTTTCACGTGTTCCTTGACTGAGATACGAACTTTTTATAACTGTTTTGATTATCGCATTTATCGTAATGTAAAACTACGATGAATCGCAGCCGCACGAGCGCGGATTCTGCCAGAGATCAATAGCACTGCGAAGTCACCAAAGCGCAGGTGTTTCTTGCAAGGCATAAGTGAGGAATAGAAGGAGGGCAATAATGATTAGGCAAGGTTCCTGGTAGGGGGCCGCTTGTGCAAAAAGGGGACCCGTCCCTAATTGAACGCGTTGCATAATCATTTTTGCACAAGGGGACCCGGCCCTAATTGAACGCCTTGCACAAGCGGGCCCTACCAGGCGGCACTTTTCCTCATCGGCGTCTAGTACTAGCCGCTTGTGCAAAAAGGGGACCCGGCCCTCATTGAACGCCGGGCTGGGAAAAGTGCCGCCAAGCCTCTGGGGAGGCGGGCGTGAGCCTTGAGGTAGTCGGGAGAACGGCTGGATGCAGCCTCTCGAATTAATCGCCAGGCCCATCCTGCCTGTTTGTTGAAGAGGCTGAGGCCGAGTCACCACTCCCAAAGCTTCCTAGAAATTCCCAGACTGGTGTCGGCCCAGTCCCAGCCAGGTTGCCGTGGGCCCCAGCTCAGTCCCAGCCAGGCTGTCGTGGGCCCAAGGAAGTGCCAAAAGGGAGGGAGGCTGCAGCATTTCACATTTGGACGCACTGGCTGCCAACGCCAGCCCTGAAGCAAGTAAAGGCAGCCAGGCCCTGGAGCATTGACGAAGGAGAAGGGGAGGATCAGGGCCCTGGGCCAGTTGCTTCTGCTTGGCGGCTGCCATAACTGTACCAAGGGGGAAGGTGCGCTGGTGCAGGGGTGATCAGGAGATAAGGACAGTGATGGGAACACCTGGACTTACCTGGTGTTGACCAATGATCACAGTCAGACTCTGCAGCATGGCAGCTGGAGGGTTACGTGCATGGCAGCTGGAGGGTTACGTGCATGGCAGCTGGAGGGTTACGTGCATGGCAGCTGGAGGGTTACGTGCATGGCAGCTGGAGGGTTACGTGCATGGCAGCTGGAGGGTTACGTGCATGGCAGCTGGAGGGTTACGTGCATGGCAGCTGGAGGGGTACGTGCATGGCAGCTGGAGGGTTACGTGCATGGCAGCTGGAGGGTTACGTGCATGGCAGCTGGAGGGTTACGTGCATGGCTTATACACATCTAGATGTGTATTGCATGGCAGCTGGAGGGTTACGTGCATGGCAGCTGGAGGGTTACGTGCATGGCAGCTGGAGGGTTACGTGCATGGCAGCTGGAGGGTTACGTGCATGGCAGCTGGAGGGGTACGTGCGTGCAACGGTTGGAAACAGAGATCAAGAGCTTCAATCCTGTTGGGAAATTTGAGGTGTTACAGTAAACAAGCTAGGGCTGAAGTTGAGGGGGGTGAGTGAGAGAGTGGGTCGAATAGCAATGGCAAGCCTGAGCAAGGGTATGCCGAAAAAATGGGAAGCTGTACCTACTTCAATGAACCCATCAAGGGTATGCCGATTAGATTTGCAGTCGACGACTGCACAATTTCAAGGCTGGCAAAAGCAGACTGTGTGTTTGTAAGTAAGTCAGGAGTGCAGGTGAGTGGCCGGTGAAGAAGGCCGGTAGACGGCTCAGTAGACGGCTCATCCTGATTGGAGTCATCTGTGATGGAGGGCTATTCATTACTGAAATTGGAAAGCTGTGTGATGTACGATGTACGACACCTTGTGGACATAATAGCAAAGGAGGTGGCGTGGATTGTGGAAATGTGTGATGAGCAAAGGAACAGGCACAGAAGCATGCCGCCACAAACACAATCTCTCTCTCTCTCTCTCTCTCTCTCTCTCTCTCTCTCTCTCTCTCTCTCTCTCTCTCTCTCTCTCTCTCTCTCTCTGTGTGTGTGTGTGTGTGTGTGTGTGTGTGTGT